GCAACAATGAATGAATGGAATTCCAAAATCTCTGTAGATGTTCATTGAAATGAAAAATAAACAAACTAAATTAATAAAAAAAAAAGAAAGAAAGAAAAAGAAAAGCTTGGAGGCCCGCGCTGCCCCGCAGCCCGAGCCACCAAGGCGCGGGTCATGTATGATTTCACTGCTGAACCTGGAAATAATGAGCTGACCGTCAATGGAGGAGAAATCATCACCATAACAAATCCAGATGTTGGCGGAGGCTGGCTAGAAGGCAAGAACAGCAGAGGGGAGCGAGGCCTCGTGCCCACAGACTACGTTGAAATTTTACCAGCTGATGGAAAAGATCCATTCTCTTGTGGAAATTCCGTGGCTGACCAAGCCTTCCTTGACTCGCTCTCGGCCAGCACAGCTCAAGCCAATGCGTCCGCAGCCACCAGTAACAATCAGGTCAGTGGAGGCAGTGACCCCTGGTCCTCATGGGGTGCATCCAAACCTGGGAACTGGGAGGGCACAGACGGCTGGGGAGCCAAGCCCGAGGGTGCCGCCGCCCAGAGAAACTCCAACAACTGGTACACCGCCTTCGGCCACCTGCAGGCCTACCAAGGACCAGCAACGGGTTACGATGACGACTGGGATGAAGACTGGGATGAGGCCAAGTCCACGTCCTCACCTTACTTCAAGGACACGGAGTCCGCAGATACAACGCGTGCCCAGCGAGGGGTCAGCCGGGCCGGGACGTCATCCATGAAGCTGCCGCTGAACAAGTTTCCTGGATTCGCAAAGCCAGGGCTGGAGCAGTATCTGTTGGCCAAGCAGCTAGCGAAGCCCAAAGAGAAGATTCCCATCATTGTTGGAGATTATGGCCCCATGTGGGTTTACCCTACCTCTACGTTTGACTGTGTGGTGGCCGATCCCAAGAAAGGCTCCAAGATGTACGGTCTGAAGAGCTACATCGAGTATCAGCTGACGCCCACGAACACTAACCGATCGGTTAACCACCGGTATAAGCACTTTGACTGGTTGTATGAGCGTCTCCTGCTGAAGTTTGGGACGGCCATTCCCATCCCTTCCCTTCCAGATAAGCAGGTGACAGGTGGCTTTGAGGAGGAGTTCATCAAGATGCGCATGAAGAGGCTCCAGGGGTGGGTGACCCGCATGTGTCGTCACCCTGTCATCTCCGAGAGCGAGGTTTTCCAGCAGTTCCTCAACTTCCGGGACGAGAAGGAGTGGAAGACCGGAAAGAGGAAGGCGGAAAAGGATGAGCTGGTGGGACTGATGGTGTTTTCCACCATGGAGCCCGAGGCCCCTGACCTGGACTTGGTGGAAATAGAGCAGAAGTGTGACGCCGTGGGCAAGTTCACCAAAGCCATGGATGACGGTGTGAAGGAGCTGCTGACCGTTGGCCACGAGCACTGGAAGCGCTGCACAGGACCATTACCCAAGGAGTACCAGAAGATAGGCAGGGCCCTGCAGAGCCTGGCCACCGTGTTCAGCTTGAGCGGCTACCAAGGTGAAACAGAGCTCAATGATGCGATAACAGAAGCAGGAAAGACCTGTGAAGAAATCGCCAGTCTCGTGGCTGAGCAACCAAAGAAAGATCTCCACTTCCTGATGGAATGCAATCATGAATATAAAGGTTTCCTGGGCTGCTTCCCCGACATTATTGGCACTCACAAGGGAGCAATAGAGAAAGTGAAAGAAAGTGATAAGCTGGTGGCAGCCAGTAAGATCACCCCGCAGGACAAGCAGACCATGGTGAAGCGGGTCGGCACCATGTCATACGCGCTGCAGGCCGAGATGAACCATTTCCACAGTAACCGGATCTATGATTACAACAGTGTTATCCGCCTCTACCTGCAGCAGCAGGTGCAGTTCTACGAGACGATCGCAGAGAAGCTGAGGCAGGCCCTCGGCCGCTTCCCGGTGATGTGACCAGACGGACCCCAGACCCACCGAGACGCCCAGCGCTCCTGCCTGGCCTGGGCAATGCAGCTGAGCATTTACTTCCTCCGATCACCAAAAAGGAAAAGAAAGAGAGCAAACCAAAAGCAGCAGAGTCCACTGTGTTTACTGGGCCCACCAGCCCGGGCAGCTCCCTCACCAGAGCGGCCTTCTTGTCCCCACAGCCACTGTCAACCCAGTGGAGAGTGTGTCTATTTTTGGAAAGTTCTTAAAATTAGAATTCTGAATGGGAAATTTGGTATTTTACAGATAATCCTAATTTATAATCCCCTCCTCCCTCGTTTTCCAGTTCAGATAATTACTCAGTGTCAGATAATTACTAATAACTTTCCTAAAAATATGAAATATGCCAGAATAAAAAACTATGTTTGTATATTTTTATAACTCTCAGCCCTTGCGGGGTTCTTGTCTCTTGAGGACAGTCCACCTTTCGTATCTGTGTTTGTGGTTAGGGTCTGACTCAGGCAGCCCCAGGGCTGCCAGCACCCCATCGTCCCCCCGTTTGTGGGTCACAGGACTGCAGACCTCTCTGTCCCACCTCCACTCCCACCCCTTCTTCATGTGACCTTCACCCACATGGAGGCCTGGTGGTGTGATGGTTAAAACACTAGGATCCCAGCTGTCCCACGGGAGAACGATGTGGCTGTCAGCTGCCATGAAGACCGCAGTCCCTAGTGCCCAGGGCAGGCCGTCCTCTGTCCCGCGGGGCTCCTGGGCATCAGACCGCCCTGGCTGGCACTCAGTGTCATGTGCTGTCACACAGCTGGTCTTTCTCTCCCTGCACCCCTGCTGTGTCTGTAGAAGTAGGGGTCAGAGGAGCTGGGGGTCAGCTGCCTCCGAGGAATGCCGCTGCTGGCATGGGGTGCCCATTCCGTCCACTTGTGGATGGGCAGGCCAGTGGTACTTTGTGAAACCCATTGTAAGGGAGAACCCCATCTGTCCCACCAGGGGGAAGGGGCCAGTGACTGGAACAGCACACAGCAGGCCCAGGGTGACTCCGGGAGAGTTGTGAGGGGATGTTCTGACTCAGTCCTCAAGTTCAGATGGCGTTTTCTCCATTACCAATTCTTCAGCGGACACCACAAAGCTGTGGGTGTCCACCACCAGCCCCTGTGTGAAGGCGTTCTGCTGGACACACGCGCCCCTGCACACTGTCCCGGCCTCTGCCGTCGCCTTACTCCACAATCCCTCACTGCCCTTGCCCTGCCGACCTGGTCACTGTCAGAACACAGACCTTCCGAGCCACCAACATGCGATGAAGTCAAAACATGAGACAAGCAGACCGGGTGGACACAGGTTTGCCGGGTGGACACGGGTTTGCCTGGTGCCTCAGTGTCACAGGTTTGTTATGTTTTAGAGGTCATTTCTCCCACTTGATTCTTCTTCTATAAAATCCTACAGAACAATGTTTATGATACAGCCATTTAATATATGTACAAATTGTAAAGAATATGTATAAATATTTTACACAAATGTAAGAGCATGTAGAAACCAACATATAAATAAATTGTTAAAACAACAACTGTACAGTAAATTCTCAAAGCACTTTTTCAAAACAAAAAAAAGAAAGAAAAGCTTGGAAGAACTCTAGTAGTCCTAATCCACAACATAAACAGTCTTCCAAGTATCCTGGAAAATCTACAACCAGGAGAAGATAAAATAGGTGAATGGGACCTTCTAAGAATCAAATCCCTGTGCACATCCAAAAACTTCTCCAAGAGGGTAAAAAGGGAAGACACAGACTGGGAAAAAATATTTGGGAATGACATGTCAGATAAGGGACTTATATCTAGAATTTATAAAATACTTGAGTACCACAACAAGATAAAAGTAAATAATCCATTTGAAAAATGGACACAGGATATGAACAGACACTTCACCGAAGAAGACATTCAGATGGCCAACAAGCACATGAAGAAATGTTCAAAATCCTTAGCTCTAAGAGAGATGCAAATCAAAACAACTATGAGATATCATCTCACCCCAGTAAGAATAGCAAAATTTAACAGAACAGCAAACAACAAATGCTGGCGAAGTTGTGGAGAAACTGGAACCCTCCCTTATTCACTGTTGGTGGGAGTGTAAAATGGTGCAACCACTTGTGGAAGGCGGTATGGTGATTTCTCAAAAAGTTGCAAATAGAGATACCATTTGACCCAGCAATTCCACTGCTGCGAATATACCCCAAAGAGACCGTAACTGACTTCCAAGCAGATATATGCACACCCATGTTTATTACAGCTTTGTTTAAAATAGCAAGGAGTTGGAAACAACCTAAGTGCCCATCAACAAACGAATGGATAGAGAAGCTGTGGTATATTCACACAATGGAATACTATGCTGCATTGAAAAACAAGAAAATTATGCAACATTACTCAAAATGGGTGAGCCTGGAGGACATTATGCTGAGTGAAATATCTCAGTTACAAAAGGACAAATACTGCATGGTGCAACTGTTGTAGAATGTGGCTGATATCAGGGTTGGGGTAAGTAAGACTGAGAAAAACTGGATAAATTATATATACTGCATTGAAACAGATGAGGGAGAGAATAAATTAACAGTGATATATGATAGGGTATTATAGTTAGCACAAGAGTCCAGAATCAAGGGTGCATAGTAGAGTGTAGCTGGGGCGGTGGGAGGGGTGCTGGGGGATTGTATACCAAAGAATGTTTCTTTTACTTTTGCAAAGAGAAGAGCAAATAGAAGGGGGGCAGTGGGGTGGGCTGGGCAGGGAGAAAAGCGCAACAATGAATGAATGGAAATCCAAAATCTCTGTAAATGTTCATTAAAATTATTAAAATAATTTTTTTAAAAAAGAAAAGATTGGCTGTAGTTAGATATTGGACTGGGTTAGATATGAGATGAGCCTGGGTTTGGGTCATATCTGCTTCTCTGAAGCTAGGTTGAGGTTGGCACCATCTATGTAGCATGGGCTGAGTTGTTGATTAAAGGAAGATTGGAATAATGTTACCAGATGCAAGTAGATGGATGCCAAGTGGGCAAGAGAAACAGCTATCCACTCACAGTGGGATCACACAGAAAGGATCCCAGCATGGTATTTTACAACCAGGACATTTCTCTAATCTTGATCAAATGACTAGTTTCACTGATGTCTCTTCACTTCACCCAATCCCTCCACTAATGTGTCTCTTAAATTCCTGTTCAAATTTGTTGGTCTTTTACTATTCTGTCTTCACCTTTTCAGTGGTAAAGAATTTACCCCGTCTTCAAGGAGGAAGGGACATCTATCATCTCTTGGTACCTTTTTCCTTCTCTAGGTGAAATTTTAAGATTTAGTCCTCTACCAGGACTTACTTGGATATCTAGCCTCATCCTAGTCCCAAGTAGAGGACTCTTAAAAGATCAGTCCTAAACGACAATACTTAACAACTTGTGGGATAAAGGACATAGATACAACTATTTCTCCTGTGTTTGAGTTTTGACATTTGAACATGCTATATATAAGAAAGGGGAAGGTCAGAAGGTGAATTCTTTCCCAGTCCTCTCTGGTCCTCCCCACACAGACACCCACCCCCATCCCGCCCCGCACCATCTCCCACAAGAATAATTTATCTCTTCTAGATTCCAAGCTCTGATAATTCTTTCAGACTTTGTTCTGCTTTCATAATTCTAACCAATTCTACTAACACATTACCCTCAAGAATGAATGGAGTCATAATTGGCCCTCCAGTGGTTTCCTGAGCGTGCAGGTCACCTAGAAGATTATCCATCTTTCTCCAAGAAGAACAACTGGTAGCTTTGAACCACCTGCCTTTGGGCTGGCAGTGAAACTCCTTACCCAGTAGGCTACCAAGTCTCTATTTTCTGTCCTTCCCTTGGCTATTTATTGAAAATGAACTTGCCTACTGGCAACTTTCTCATGTATTCCTTCTATTGCCATTTCTCGGCACTATCTTTATTTGCCCGTCAGTCCCTCTTTAGGATCCAGTTAGATGTGGTTATTCTTCAGCTCTGCCTCATAAAACCGTCTTAGAATTCAAGACCCATGACTACCCAAGGAAAAAGTGGTATCACTTGTTAAAGCACCCACAAAAGATCCTTGCAAATCTCATAATTAACTTCAGGCAAGGATTAGGACCTTTTCTCTTACACTAGATGCATCTCCCAGTATCCTGTCTCCTGCCTTTGCCACCTTCTCACCTTGTTCTCTCCTAGAACTATATAGATCCAAAGTGGCTCAAATTTCTTGGAAGTTATATGGTACAGTTCATTATTTGGTATAAATATATGTGAGTAAAAGAGAACTACATTTGTTCCCATTCCAAAGAAAGGTGACCCAATAGAGTGTGGAAATAATCGAACAATATCATTAATATCACATGCAAGCAAGATTCTGCTGAAAATTATTCAAAAATGGCTGGAACAGCACATCAACAGAGAAATGCCAGAGGTTAAGGCTGGGTTTAGAAGGGGTCGTGGTACTAGGGATATTGTAGCTAATATTAGATGGATCTTGGCCGAAAGCAGAAAGTACCAGAGGAATGTCTATCTGTTTCATTGAATATGCAAAGGTGTGGATCACAACAAACTGTGGCTGGCTCTGATTAGGAATGGGAGTCCCAGAATACTTGATCGTGCTAATGTGAAACCTATACTTGGACCAGGAGGCAGTCGTCAGAACAGAGCAAGCAAACACTGCATGGTTCAGAATTGGGAAGGGTGTACTCCAGAGATGTGTTCTATCTCCATACCTTTTCAGTCTCTATGCAGAACAGATTATCCAGGAGACTGGGCTGTATGTGGAGAAATGTGGCATCAGGATTGGAGGAAGATTCATCAACAATCTGTGTTATACAGATGACACAACCCTACTTGCTGAAACTGAGGAGGACCTAAAGCACTTGCTGCAGAGGGTCAAGGACTGCAGCCTTCAGTATGGATTGAGGCTGAATAGCAAGAAAACAAAGATTCTCACCACTGGGCCAACTGGCAGCATCAGGATGGA